GATGTCATAAAAAGAGCGGTTCTTGGACATGCTAGAATGGTGGAGCACTATGCTGACCTCCAAGACAAATATAATGATTTGGTTGCTAAGCACAATGCTATAATGGAAGGCATAGCAGAGGTGAAGAAGGCAGCGGCAAAGGCTGGAAAAAAGGGTCATGCTCGTTTCGCCAAAGCTCTTGCTGCCGAACTTTCTGCACTAAGGGTGGAGAGAGAAAGGGAAGCAAAATTCTTGAAAAAGGAGAACATGAATCTCAAGATTCAACTTAGAGAAACTGCAGAAGCTGTTCATGCTGCTGGAGAACTACTTGTTAGATTAAGAGAAGCTGAGCATGCAGCGTCCATTGCAGAGGTAAAAACCCCATCATTTCTTTCAAATGCATCAGATTATGAATTCTAATTTGGTACAGTACCTTGATAAGTTCAAGTAGTTTAAGGCAACTTTAGGGGTAGAAAGTTTATTAATTTGGTGCACTAACATATTGGAGGGAAACTGCGGCATTAAAATTGGAATTTATTCTGCTAATTTCTTTGACCCTCCCTTGCATCAACAAAGAATTTAGAAGATATGATAGGAATTGTGGAAAACAAGTATGTGATGATCCATTTCGGTCGTTTCCAATTTTTTTCTTGATTTATATTTCTTTATACAGGAGAATTTCACAAAAGTGCAACACGATAATGAAAAGCTAAAAAAGCAAATGGACAAGATCAAAAGAAAGCACAAGATGGAGATGATTACCATGAAGCAGTACCTTGCAGAGAGCAAATTACCCGAGTCGGCACTGCAGCCACTATATAGAGAGGATTCTGATGTGGTTCACAAGGATTCAACTTCCCATCCAGATGACGATCAAGCATGGAGAGTAGAGTTTGGAGCAATCTATCAGCAACATTATTAATTCGTCAGTGGTTGGATTGATTAACAGATTATGTAGCACCAGATCCTTCTTGGATCAATAAGTATTCATACACCCATTTATATTCTTTGTATTGTTTTAAAAAATTCATTGTATTTTTTATGCTGTGTGGATCATGTTTGTGGCACTCCAATTCTTAGTTTGTACTGATAGTAGGCAACAGTAATAACATTGAATTATTTGTTCTTTACCGCTTGAATTGTTTGAATTATTTGAGGAAATATTGTTTAGAACGGATACAGACAACTAACAAATAAAAAAATGCACCTGACACATGAATATCAGAATATGGTAAATTCAAGCGGTAAAGATTTGTTCTTTACGGCTGTCAACCATTGTCTCAAGACGTTAAGGATACAAAAAAAAACTGAATATTTATTATATTGAGAGTGTATAAATCATTTGATATACATTTTTTAAAATAGTTTTTTAAATGTACTGGATAAAATATGTTTAATATTTTTTAACTAATGTCTTGTAAGTTAATAAAAGTGATAAAAACAAACAACATGAATGAGATATAAAATAAACAAAAATATAAATCTCCAACTACGATTAATATATAAGTTCAAAAGTCAAAGATATTGTAAATCAATAAAAATTCAAAACAATTCTCATTAAAAAAAAAAACACTTTTCCTTATTCATATGAAGTATTCAACTATTCATGTTCATCAATTTAAGATTGTGTGCGGATTAAATGTAAAAAGAATGAAGGAATTTTTTTTGAAATGAAGGAATTATTCAACCATTATTTTATAACTTGATTAAGATTAAATTACTAACATTTGTATATATTAAACTAAAAGCAATTTTAAAATATCACGTGTTGCTTAAATTTTTCTGAAAAAAAAATCCTTTTAAAAGTGAAAAGGGGGAAAAGATGTTCAGATATAATATTTCATTTTTGTTTGACTAATTGCGCTTTGTGCAGGGTTTTACGGTTAAAAGAGTAAAAACAGTGGGAGTCGTCAAAACGACGTCGTGGAAGAAGTTAGAAAGGGATAACACGACTCACTCGCAGACACAACAGAATTGAGAAGCGAAAAACGCGAAGAAGAGAAAGAAGAGGCTCAAGTTCAACATCTTCTATGGCGACGCCGGATTCCGACGCTACGTCTCAGCCTCAAGATTCCGATTCCGTTTCCAATTCTAATCCTCCCAACGCCCTTGTCCCCGCCGCTCCCGCCGTTTGCCTCCTCCGCTTCGCCACCGACTCTGCCGGCGGCGCTCTCATGGGCTCCGTCTTCGGATACGGTCTTCCTCTTCTCTCCCTATTTTCTCATTAAGCCGTCGTTTCATAAACTATTAAGCCTAATTTCTTCGTTCAGCTTTTAATCGAATATTCGCTGTTTTTGTCAATAGTGTGTGTCTTGCGGATACAATGCTTTAAATCTTCTTCTTCGTTGTGTGGTGTGGTTCTTGAATTTTCGATTGGTCCGTTTTAGCAGTGATAATACGATTGCTGCTTAGTTCAGTGCAGCTGCGAATAAGTGAATGCGTTTGACTCGGTTTTGGAGGAGAAAGTGTCTGGTGTTAGGTTTAGGTTACATCTAATATATGTAGTTTAGTTTTTGTAATTAATTAGTTTGATTTTCTCAGTAATGTAGGTTAATTATGTTCAGTGTGTATTGGAGTGGAGAAAAAGCTGGCTCGAGGTTTTTGAGTGTGTATTTCAGTGAAAAGAATCTTTGAGAAATTTGACTTTTGATGGCTTAGTTGTCAGTTGATTTTTTCTGATTTTGCTTAAGGATTCTTGTTATGGTGTGTTTCAGGTGCTGGATTGTTTAAGAAGAAAGGTTTCAAAGGATCCTTTGTAGAAGCGGGATCTTATGCAAAGGTGCATTGGAAAACTCACTGGCTTTTCGCTACCTTGGTTTATATCATTTTTTTTTTTTTTTTGTTTTAATTTAGCTCGTTAGTAATATTTTCTTTTTCTTCACTAGACATTTGCAGTTTTGTCCGGAGTTCATAGTTTGGTTGTTTGCATCTTGAAACGACTTAGAGGAAAGGATGATGGTATGGAAATTTAACTATAAAAGGACATTTTTGCTTTTTAGTGATATTAAACTGGTAATATGAATTCTTTCTTCTGCAGTCATTAATGCGGGGGTGGCTGGATGTTGCACTGGCCTTGCTCTAAGTTTTCCAGGTATCTTTTATTTATTTGAAGAAATTGATGAATTTGCCCTTTCCTTGAAACTTGTAAGAAAATGAAGGATAAAGGGCTTCCCAATCTGGCCATTTTGAATAACAAGCCTTGTCATTCTTGATATCTCTTTAAAATCATAATCATATATATCAAAATACAGAGGTATTTTTGTCCATAATCGGTGTGAGGCAATTTTTTGAGGGAGAAGGGAAAATAAGTTTACTGATTCAGAATGTTGAATACCTTTCAATCATTGCTATTGTTAGAATTCATTGCTATTGTAAATTTCATTTTGTGTGCTTTTTTTGTTATTGCGACTTATCCTCTAGTGTTTTCCAGGTGCACCACAAGCTCTTTTGCAAAGCTGCCTCACTTTTGGGGCATTTTCTTTTATTATGGAAGGGCTAAACAAGCAGCAGCCAGCACTTGCACTTCCCATGTCTTGGAAAACAACTGTGCAACACAATGCACGTCCTCCCTTGGCGCTCCCCCTTCAACTCCCTCTCCCAGAGGAACTAAAAGAAGCCTTCTCCTTTTTCTCCGAATCTTTGAAGAAGCGCAGCAAGGGGTCTCGTCCAACATCTCAATAAGAAGTTGGGGTATATCATGATTTTCTAGCATCATGTAGATAAGATGTGCACCCTTCTTTGCCCCCCTTTTTTTAGATTCCTTGTAGCTTTTATCAACATTTCTTTTTGAAGAACTTAAGGGTGACAACAAATTGTCCAAGAACATGGATTGTTTTCATGTAACTGAGTTGCAACATGACATCGTAATTCTATCATGTTCTATCTTGGTGGTTTCTTGAGCTTGGACAGCCTTCTTATGATGATTGATTTAGCTTGACCCATGCCATTCGAAACAGTGATGGTATGAGGTAGCGGCGATTTTTGTTTGGAAGCTAAACTCTGCATAATTAACCTAACATTATTATTAGTTAGAGCAATTAGATCCCAATCCAATACCTACCACGCGGAATGTTTCTGGTAAAGCCTGTGAGCTGTGGCATTTAAGGATCTACAGTTAATGATTCATTTAATTAAAAAATTATGTTTCTGATATTGGTTGGAACTTGGAAGTATACATACTTCAAGAGCATTCAAGCACCGAGTGTACGTTGACATCAGACGCCTCTCGACTTGAATTATTTATTTATACTGACAACAGCTCGTAGCTATAAAACTTGGTACGAATTTAACCTATTCACGCGCTTTAAATGTAGATAATTGAAATATAATTAATATTATCAACTACATGTATTTAACGGAACAGGCTCACTGCTATTCAGTAACCTCTTAAGTTGATTTCTCTTTAAAATCTCACTTGACACTGTCTACTTAAACCTGCTCAACTACTCTAGTGTAGCGGATGCCTATCTATCGTTAGCATCAAGTTTGAATATTACATAAGCTAATGGTAAAATGATATAACGAAAGTGCCATCATGTCAGAGAGTTATTTGAAGTAATTTCTATCAACTTATTTTGAAGACATTTAAAATAAATTGAATTCGAGTCAAATAGTAGGGTGGTCTTCAGTTCTTTTGACTCTATCCGTGGAAATCGGATTCATTCAAGTTACTACAATCGATCTAGTATTAGGGATTTGAGTAATTCATATGAAGTTCAGTTCAAATTTTATTACTGGCATTATAAAAAAGTTACCCGAGTTATTCTCTACTATTAACATATACTACTTAAGTCTTTTCCTGTTTTAAATTCGAATCCAATTAATTATAAATAAATAAAAAAGAATTGAATTATGATTAATCATTCTTGTCTTTTTTTCTCTCTCCAATATTTAAATGAAATTTGTGTAATAAATTAAGGCTAATGATATATATACCTCTTTTTTTTTTTTTTTATAAGTACACCTCCTTTATTTTTTCAATTTTTTTTTTAAATATTTATAATTTTTTTTATTCTTTAAATTTTTAATTTTATATCTCTAACTTTCAATTTACTATTTTTTCTTTTCACACACCTCCTTCCTTCTCTTCTCCAATTTCTACATCCATCATCTTGTTTTCCTCTTATTCCTCACCTATTTCAGTAGGTAATTTTAGTTCTCTCAATTTTTATATTACTCTCTTATTTTCTCACCTCTTTTACTTTTTCACATACACTCAAATCATAGAACTAGTAGGCGACAATATTGTAGGTACGTGTAGCTTCCTCGACAGTTTCTATCAAACTAGACATACATTTTTTGCTTTCAACACTTCCTTTCCTTTCACCCCTCCAAAAACCTTAACATTAAATTTAGTGTTATGAAAAAGACATTTTCACTATTCTAGAGTACTATGCGAATAGTGAAATCAGTGAGAAAACTGAAAGAGGAAGGGAAAAAAATAATGTAAAACTAGAAGAATTAAAATTACCTACCAAAATAGGTGGGGGTGAAGAAAAATTAAGGAGGTGCATGTGAAAATAAGGGAAAAAGATATGTAAAAAAAGTATTAAATTAAATGTTAGGAGTGTAAAATTTAAAAAGTTAAAAATAATAAAAATTAAGGATATTTTAAGAATTTAATTATTTTTTTTAAAAAGGGTGTGCTTATAAAAAAAAAAAAAAAAAAAAAAAAAAAAAAAAAAAAAAAGAGGTGTATATACCATGATCCTAAATTAATTATTGAAATTGGGCCAAAAACAAAAGTGGAGAACTAATCTATTCCGGCCTAGCGTTTGGGGCCACGGATTTGGGCTTCCATGCAAAAATAAAATAAAACAAAAAGGGAGGAAACGGTGCGTTTTAGTAAGAGCAAAGATCTTGAATCTCCGTCTTGCTGAGCGTGGATCTGCGTTAGGGCACCGCAAGCAGCAACAGCATAGTGTGCAAAACCACTTAAGCAAAAGGTTTAATTTATCATCATCGCTCCATTTTCCTCTTCCTTCATCTAATCCTACTTTTTCAGTCACAATGACCTATTCAACTAAATCTCTGCTTTACTTGCGATCATTTTTCATTTCCCTTTTGAGATTCGGAATGCGGCTTATCATCATAAATCGATTAATGAAACTTTTGTTTGCATGTCTATTTTGGTTTTGTGTAGGGTTTCAATGGCTACTGTGCGAAGTCTGAAGATCAAAACAAGTACGTGCAAAAGAATAGTGAAGGAGCTGCATTCTTATGAGAAGGAAGTTGAGAGAGAAGCTGCCAAGACATCTGACATGAAGGAACAAGGAGCTGATCCTTATGATCTCAAACAGCAGGTATACCCAAAATATGTGCCTCTTCACTCAAATTATGTCTTCTTTACTTTTCTCTGTTAAAGAAATGCACAATTGGTTGTACTGATTTGGTTTGGACAGGAAAATGTGTTGGCTGAGTCTAGGATGATGATTCCTGACTGCCGCAAGCGCCTTGAGGCTGCTTTGGCAGACTTGAAAGGAATATTGGTACTATTTCTGTGCTTACTGTATCTCTCAGTTTTCTGTTGTTTTCTGGTGTCATGAACATTTTTAACCATTTTGGCATGCTCAACATTTGACGCCTTGGCTTTATCATTAAATTTCTCTGCTAATTTCATAGACTTAGCTCTTAATTGGTTCAATGGAAGATGGTACCTGTTAATGATTTATGTATTATAACCAGTTGATTGGGATAGGAATATAGTTATCTTACTTGTCCTGACCCTGCTATACAAAATTTAGTTTCCTACAGTTTTACTGCTCTTGGACTAGGTGTCTGTCTCCAGCCAGTCCACCATACTATTTTTTCTCAATTTAATTGCTGTGACCTCCTATTTGTCACTTCCTCTTCTTTATCTAATTATAAGTTTAATGGAAAAATTAATGAATTATTTGAATGGTTGGGGATTGTTGCATCTTGATTTAATCAAAAGTTTAGTAGATGCAAAAGTCAAAAATCGATAACTAAGATCTTTTGCCAAACCAGGGAGGGTGTTGTGGAATACGGTATAGTTGAAACTAAAAAGACTTCTGTAATGGTATTTTTTTTTTGTTTTGTATTTTTGGGGTAAAGAAGCTCAAGCTTTATACTTAAATTTTTTTTATCCTTATAAAGTTAATATAAAATATAATGAGAAAAAAATTGCCACTCTAGGATCATGACTGTAGGGTGAACTGTGTGGATTTTGACTTCAGGCAATCCAGTTCTATCCCCTTATGTTTTGATCCATACCTTTATTATATTTTTTAATTTAAAAGTCATATGAGGTGTTTTCTAATTGGATTGTAATTTTGATTTTATGTTGGATTTCTAATTTTTATTTATTTATTTATTTGCGGCTTTCAGGCTGAGTTGGAAGAGTCGGAAGAGAAGGAAGCCCCTGAAATTGATGAAGCTCGAAACACCATTGAAGAAGTTGAAAAAGTATTTGCAACATCAGAAGCTCAGTAAGGTGTTCTGGTTGGTGCTCTTGCTGGAGGATATTAGGCCTGTATTGTACAATTTCCTGGTCACAAAAAAAATCATACAATCTTCTTTTTGCTTGCGCCCTCTTCCATGTCTAGTTCTAAGCTTCTATAGAACATCTGATAATGAATGAGTGTGACACTGTTTTACAAATCTAATCTTGATAGCATGGTATCATTCTATTAACGTTTTTACAACCAAATTCCTCTGATTTTACGTGGTATGCAGTCTAAAGATCATTAAGTTAGTAATTTCAGCAGTGATTGTGTGTATGAAGATAAAAGGTCTTTTTGCCCATAAGTATTTTTAAGAGAGAAAAAGTAGAAAGGAAAATTAAAATAAGTTTTTCTATAAGTTAAAATTAATTTATGTATGGATTAAAAATAAGATTTCGGAGGAATTAATAGAAAGAAATTTTTACAAATGGACGAGATAATTTTAGTTTATGAATTTTCTTTTTTTTTTTAGAAGTTTAAACAATGATCGCTCGTTATGAAATTAGATGGGATACCCGTCACCACATTGTTAATATATTCTTTTTAGGGATTTAATAAATTAATAATTAAAATTAATTTATGTATGAATTAAAAATAAGATTTTGGAGAAATTGGGAATAAATTTTTATAAATGGACGAGATAATTTTAGTTTATGAATTTTTATTTTTTTGAGAAGTTTGAACAATTATCGCCCAGTTATGAAATTAGATGGGATACTCATCACCACATTGCTAATACCTTTTTTTAGGGATTTAATAGATTAATATAAGGTTATTGTCCGCAAACTTGTAAAAACTCGTTCAATTTCTAATCAAGTTATTCAATTATAATTATTAATTCTGGTTTCACATTTTGTATAAATTTAGTCAAGAAGAGGTTTAAACCTACTTTTGTTAGCCAGTTGACCTTATAATTATTAACCACTGAATCATTCCATATAAGACTGGCTGCTTATTTTCTTTCATATGAAATCAAAAACATTTTATGATTTTCATTATGATCGTCTCATTGAATAACACTTAATAAGTATAATTAATAACACCGAATCATTCCACTGCTTAAATTCTCCGTTTTCATTATGATAATCTCACGCAACAGACGTGATGATTTACCTTAATGCCTTACTGTTAGTGTTAATTACTTAAATCCATAGTAAGAAACAAGAAAAAGCAGAGAATTTTCCACTTAAAAGCTTATTATAACATTGGAGGAAAAAAATCACTTAAACGCGTTAGGATGTAGAAGATGGAGACGTATGTTACGTAACACTTCTCGCTTTCACTCTTAGTCTTAGTCAAATAAACATTTCGTACGTTAATAATGTCTAGTGGAACCTTGACAAATGAAGAATGAAAATTTAGCATTAGCTCTAACAAACTTCCCATACGTGAACTAAACGTAAAATTAAAATATAATTTTATATTCATTTATATGCTTAAGAATAGAAATGAAGTTAGTCAAAATTATAGTTTTTTTTTTTTTTTAAGAGGGCCGATGGTCATCCATTTAAAATATAACTCTTGAATAAATTAAGCAAATACTAAATACTAAATATAATAGCTCTCAAATTTCGATATATGCGGTTATAAATATTTTTGTAATTAAGATAAATAATTCTAAATTATTTTATTCATTTTTTTTATTAATATGATTACATCACATAATTTAACAGATTATAAATAGAAATACACGATAAAATATTAATAATGCAAAACATGTTAGTAATAGATAACATAATATAACGAATAACACGTGCCACCGCACATATAGATTATTTGGTAGTGATCTTGTTCCGGCCAAGGGAGCGTCTAGGATTCTTCTCCTAGGTCAGGCCTCCAAAGTCAGAGCATTCAAGAGTGTAATCTGCCGTCTTAACTCTAGGATTTTAGGTTTTATACTTTTCTGTTCATGGGCCACCTGGGTCTTGTGAGCGCGAGGATTTCCAAAACGGTTTTCCTTGGGAATATTTGATTATCAAAGATAGGCTTTTCATCCTTGATTCTCGGACCAGTCCAAAGGGTGAGACCCACTCGGACTTTGGCCGACCATACCCTGGCCGAGCTCATCATGGCCGAGCACAGCCTGGCCGATCTCACCATGGCCGAGCACAGCCTAGTCGATCTCACCATGGCCGAGCACAGCCTGGCCAATCTCACCATGGTTGAGCGCACCCTGGCCGACCATACCCAGGCCGAGTTCGTCCAGGGGGTGGGTGAGATCGCGGTCCGACATATCTTATCCATGTGAGAGGTTAGATTGCCTGCCGACCGAGAAGACCCATATTCAAGATTCATCGGATCAAAACTTGTAAAGGGTATCATATCGGGATCCGATTGGGACGATACACTTGCCTTCCAGCCCTAAGCCTATAAGGCGCAAGGGCTTAACTGTCCCTGAGATCGAGTCCAGATCGGATTCCGACCGAACTCCCCCGAGATCACCCTCGTGGGAGGGGATCAGGTCAGATTCTGATTGTTTCCATGCCTGGGCCAAAATCAGGTCGACCCTTTTTCGACTTCCCCCTTGGTGTGCCGATACGGTACACTTGCCTTCCAGCCCTGAGCCTTATAGGCGAAAGGGCTTTAAGGAATTACTCCCCGGGATCGTATCAGAATTATACCGAGATGGTACACTTGCCTTCTAGCCCTGAGCCTTATAAGGCGTAGGGGCTTAGCTAGCCATGATATTAGATCAATGCCTACGTGGGAAGGTTAGATCAAATTCTGACCGAGACGGTACACCTCCCTTCAAGCCCTGACTTTACGTTGTATTGACGCAAAACTATTATTATTTTATTAAGCGTATTACTAGATTTCGATTCACTGATCATCATTATGCATTATGTGGGAGAGAATAACCGAGACATTCGTCGATATCATGAATAATGGAGAAAATAAACTAAGTTAACAAATTTCATTTTGGTATACCATGTCATCCAAATTCCGATTGGAAGAAAATAAACTAAGTTAAAAAATTTTGTTTTGGTATACCATGTCATCCAAATTCCGATTGGAAGAAAATAAACTAAGTTAAAAAATTTTGTTTTGGTATACCATGTCATCCAAATTTCGATTGGAAGAAAATAAACTAAGTTAAAAACTCCATTTTTGGTATACCATGTCATCCAAATTCCGATTGAAAAAAAAAACTAAGTTAAAAAATTTTGTTTTGGTATACCATGTCATCCAAATTCCGATTGAAAAAAAAAACTAAGTTAAAAAATTTTGTTTTGGTATACCATGTCATTCAAATTCCGATTGGAAGAAAATAAACTAAGTTAAAAACTCCATTTTTGGTATACCATGTCATCCAAATTCCGATTGGAAGAAAATAAACTAAGTTAAAAACTCCATTTTTAGTATATCATGTCATCCAAATTTTGATTGGAAGAAAATAAACTAAGTTAAGAATTTTGTTTTGGTATACCATGTTATCCAAATTCCAATTGGAAGAAAATAAACTGAGTTAAAAACTCCATTTTTGGTATACCATATGTCATCCAAATTCCGATTGGAAGAAAATAAACTAAGTTATAATCTATGTTTTTGTAAAGCGTGATTGCCCAAATTTCAATCTTAGGAAAATGGGAAAATGAACTAAGTCAAATTTTAAGTTGATTGATAGAAACATACCATTCAAATTCTGGTGTCTTCGAGTTATTTATACTCGCCCAGTTGGATTTTTACCGATCAATCACGAGTTTGGTCTTCGAGTTATGTATACTCGCCCAGTCAGAATTTTACGGATCAATCACGAGTTTGGTTTTCGAGTTATTTATACTCGCCCAATCAGAATTTTACCGATCAATCACGAGTTTAGTCTTCGAGTTATTTATACTCGCCCAGTCGAAATTTAACCGATCAATCATGAGTTTGGTCTTCGAGTTATTTATACTCGCCCAGTCGGATTTTGACCAATCAATCACGAGTTTGGTCTGAACCATGAACTATATATGTTAAATTGAAAAATTGATATTTATTGCTTACTTGTGCCTCGTTAAAAACCTTCTCAGCAAAAAACTCTTTCACACTTTTATAGGGATAAAATACTGAGCTAGGAAAAGAGTACACTTGATAAAAAACCTTCTCGATTTTCTGCTACTCTTTTATTGATATGTCCTTCCTCCGTCTTTATATGGCTCAGGGTGAAAGCTCTTACCTTCGACATTGTTTGACAATTTGCTCTTTCCAGTGCGACGTCGAAATCACCTGACCTTAGTCCCTTTTGAAAGGCGATGACCGCCATCTTCTCGTCCAAGGATGCTATCCTCAAAGCCACTTTATTAAACCTTTGCAAAAAGTCCTTCAACGACTCCTCACGTTGTTGCTTGAGATCGAACAAATCCGACGTGATCGGTGGTTTCCTCTTATTCGCCACAAATTGTGCCATGAAAAGCCGACTGAAAACATCAAAGTCGGTGATCGATCGGTCAGGAAGACTGCTGAACTAATCGAGGGCCGCCTTTTTGAGCGTTCCCATGAACAGTTTGCATCGGACTTCCATACTCCCCCCACATATCAACATCTGAGCGCGAAAATCCGTTAGGTGTTGAATAGGATCCTGTGTCCCATCAAAAGGTTCCACCTGGGGGACTCGGTAGTCTCTCGAAATGATTTCAGCCTCTATAACCTCCGTGAAAGGTCTAAAGTCTCTTTCCTCTGCCGTTCTGATATTAGCTGCCATCATGGCTTGCATCTTATCGGCTCGTCGTCTGATTTCCTCGTTCTCCTGCTTAATGGCCTCCTCCCTTTCCCTAGATCGCGCATTCTCCTCTCTTAAGTCGTTGATCAATGCCATCATCTCCTCCATAGTAGGGTGTTGTGGGTCGTGGTTTGGTGCGCCGCCTCTCGCCATTTTTGGTAGCTTTTTGTTCTTCAAGTTTTTTTTTTTTTTTTTTCTTGGGCGTAGGGAAAGTTTCACTGTAGCTCCACGGTGGGCGCCAAAATGTTCCGGCCAAGGGAGCGTCTAGGGTTCTTCTCCCAGGTCAGGCCTCCAAAGCCAGAGCATTCAAGAGTGTAATCTGTCGTCTTAACTCTAGGGTTTTAGGTTTTATACTTTTCTGTTCATGGGCCACCTAGGCCTTGTGAGCGCGAGGATTTCCATAACGGTTTTCCTTGGAAATATTTGATTATCAAAGATAGGTTTTTCATCCTTGATTCTCGGACCAGTCCAAAGGGTGAGACCCACTCGGACTTTGGCCGACCATACCCTGGCCGAGCTCATCATGGCCGAGCACACCCTGACCGATCTCACCATGGCCGAGCACAGCCTGGCCGATCTCACCATGGCCAAACACATCCTGGCCGATCTCACCATAGTCGAGCACAGCCTGGCCGATCTCACCATGGCTAAGCGCACCCTGACCGACCATACCCAGGCCGAGTTCGTCCAGGGGGTGGGTCTCTCACCTGCTGACCGAGAAGACCCATATTCAAGATTCATCGGATCAAAACCTGTAAAGGGTATCAGATCGGGATCCGACTAGGACAATACAGATCTCTAATTTGAAAAGTTGAATTCTAAGCATGCAAATAAATTAATAGAAAATTGTATCATCCTTAATAATTTTATTTAAGTCAACCCGATAAAACAAATTAATCCCAAATATTCACACACACACACAAAATGTTGATTAATAGCACATGTACAAATGAAATTATTATTCATTGAATAAAGAAGTCTTGGGCACCGTTGCTACTTTTTTCTTTGGTACGCGTACTGCAAGCTTACAAGTAACCAACCTAATTCCATTTGAAACGTGGATTTAGGATAATGGACTAAATTACTATAAGATTTATAATGTAATCTCATTTTCACTTCCTAAAATTAAGCACATTAGTCAACAATTTGAGCCTCGCATGATTCTGGTTACTGCAACTTTATTTATTTAACTCCAAGTTACACGAACAAATGTAAAATTTAAATAGTCAAAATACTTATGCTATCATAGTGATGTGTGATGAATAAATTGTATTAGTCGATTATTTATATAGAAAAAAGACTTTGTTAACAATCACCCCTAATCACTATTAATAAAAGTGTAATATTTTTATTGGGGTGCTTAAAGGGTAATATAATTCTAAAACTTTTCTTTACCATAAGATATTTTATGTCATATATCGGCATGTAATTCGCAAATTCATGGAAAGTTATGTACATGAACTTGATGATTTGTTCCATCTATAAAAAAGAGAAAAAGCTAAAAGAATAAAAACTTTAATTGACTACAACAATTTAACTCTTCTTTTAAATTACTACACGTGGATTTTAGTTTACGCGTACAAATGATATTGACATAATAAATATCTAAAAGGGATAGAAATTCTTCGACTAATTCATAGATTCCAATTAATTTACATCACAACTTATTTTTCCTCCCATCTTTTCCAAATCAACCAACAAATGTGACACTACACAAATTCAAAAATCAAGACTAAGTGCACTTTCAGACCTCCAATGTCTTGCTTTCTCAAATCCATTGGTATAGTTTTCAAAATCATCAATTGTTTGGTCAATCTCTTCTTGAGTGTTCATCACAAAGGGTCCAAATTGCACCACAGGTTCACCCAATGGTTCCCCTCCAACCAAAATGAACCTAAGCACCTTAGGAGATTTGTTCCATGCTTCTAGGCCATCCCCAGAACCAAGAAGTAGTATATGGTGAGATGTCACAGGTTGAGATTTTTTGTTCCCAAAAACACCCTCTCCTTCCAATATGTACACAAAAGCATTCCAAGATTTTGGTATAGGTTGTTGCAAGTGTGCCCCAGGTTTAAGGGAAAAATCCAAATACATGGTTGGTGTCCTTGTGTAGATTGCTGACTTTACTCCAAGAGCTTCCCCTGCTATAACCCTAACTTTTATACCATCTACCATAGTTTCAGCTATGTCCTTGCTCAACATTTCTTGGTACCTTGGCTCAATCCTAACATAAAAGTAGTACAATGTTAGGAAAATTAGAAGGTAAAAAAAAAAATTGAGAATTCTGTTACATTTTGATCAGTAGAAATTATAACTACGATAACATAATTCAAACAGTTATAGTTGATTAATCTTTAATTATTATATGATATTTTATTATCATTTAAAAATTATATGACATGATAACAATAACCCTGTGTAATTACAAAATAATAATGTTTTATAATACATATTAACTGAAAATAACAGTTACTTATTTCTAATTATTGTTCCTAACATATAAAGAGATATTAAACCAAAGTTTAGCGTGTGAATTAAGAAACTACTTTACCAATTTAGCTTAAACTTGAAGGTAGACAATAATTGTTCCTTAAAGGATGTCAAATACTTCCAAGAAAACACCAATGAAAAAGTTGAATTAATTTATAGTGGGGTCATGAAGAAGAAGACAAATTTTGAAAGTAGCATAGGCAACATTTTATTGTTGCCCTTATTATTATTATTGAATTTTCCATCATCAGGATGGGATATATGGGTGTGAGAGGCACATTCTTTATGCTGGCCCTTTTGCTCTCTTGCATCTTTTGATGCCCTATTCAAGAGCACTTGTAGGAAATGGTACATGATGATGGCGAATCATGAGAAAAAAAGTCACATGTGAATGTGAGGAAGGCGTATCTTATTTCAGAAAGTTTAAAAAGATTTGACTGTTTCTTAGTGAAGAGTGGAGTTCCTTTTTGTCTCATTGATATTAATTCGGTGATGAGCATTATCCAAAACGATCCCCCAAACCAATGATGATGATCTTCAGTGACGCAAAAAGTACGTCATCAAATAAGTGCAATAAGTATTTAATTAAGTTGTTTACAGTTTATGGTTTTTTATAATCAAAAACTACTTAACCAAGTTGTTTACTGAAATGTGATAGAAGAATTGTGCACTTACATTTTATTTTTTGAAGCTAGGTTTATCCAGAGTTGGAGACCCTTTTGGGTTCCTTGAGCTGCAGGCATTTCTGAGTGAACTATCCCTCTCCCTGCAGTCATCCATTGCAAGTCACCAGCTTCAATTGTCCCCTTATGTCCTTCAAAATCTTCATGCGTTACAGCTCCCTAAAAGTTCCATTCAGGTGAAGTTACCACATCACCCACAAAAATATGTGATCAATATGGCATGGACACGACTTTAGATACATTACACTCAATATGGTAGTTGGCCTTCTAGAAATATAAAACAAGATATCAACATGTGGGGTCACTCTTGTCTTTGTCCTTGTGCTTATAACCAACTACTATTGCCAATTAGGACACAATTTAATGGTTTGGTTTTAGTGGCCCTAATCAAAATCACCATACGAATCCTAAAGTTATTTAAAAATTCAAGAAATCTTAATAAGTTATCCATGGGGAGCAATATCATGGTTTGGTTTTAGTGGCCCTAATCAAAATCACCATAAGAGTCCTAAAGTTAGTTAAAAATTCAAAAAATCTTAATAAATTGTCTATGGGTCAGCAATATCAAGAGAGTTTAATTCAACTGATTAAATAAGAAGTGTGAGGATTGTAAATTTTCTTGATATTAAATTCCATTCTAATAAATTAAAAAGAGTCACACTTATTTATTGAATATACTTAGAGTTATACTCATAAATTTATACATCCTAAATTAGACGATTCACATCCTTTTAAGTGCTAAACCTGAAAAATGTGAACACATCTAAATAGTCTAATAACAAATTATTAATTTGTGACTTGTTTTTTGCCACTTCACTGGCACACAGATTAACACCATATTAAGTTGATACACTAACAAACTATGAGCTAATATAGAATAAAGAAATCATAAAGATAAATAGTATTTTGTTCACTTTTAATTTTCTTTTTTCAATTATGTTGATTTGCATAATGGCCATTATATTATTACCTTTGACTTTATAACACGGATTGAAAAAAAAAAAATTATAACAAGGTTTATCAAATGTTTGAAAACACTCAAAACAGTATTATAATAATGAGCAAAGAAAGAAAAACCAATGAACTGAAAGTCTGAAACAATAAAAATTTGCTGTACCTGCAACATGTATGTGACCGTCTCAAAGCCTGTTAAAAAGAAAAATGAAAAAACAGCAGAATGAGTCAGAAGCTAAACAAATCAGATCAGTGAAGAACAAAACATAAATGACACAGAAAATCCAATTGACGAACCTCTGTGTGGATGATCAGGAAACCCAGCAGGAGCAGTGACTGCAATATTTCAAAATTTAACATTCTTAGAAAAAAGCAAAACAACATTGACCTTCATATTTTTATTCATAATCCAAGATAGAAAACAGAGAAAAATCCAGAGATGCCCACCTGAGAATTCATCCAAGACAAGGAAGGGATCAAAGTACTTGAGCTCAAATCTGAACATAACCACATAATAAAAATCAATATTCAAAAAGTTCAATTTTCAAAAGGGTTCCTTCCAAAACATGCAATGCAACACACACATAAAGATAATCTAAAATTCTACAGCGTTCAATCTAAGAATCAAAATTAATTTTTCTCAAGCAAAATCTCAACTATGCATAATGGCAAAAGATTAAGTGTGGTATATATCAATCTCTCTTACCTCCCTATGCTTCTTCTAACAACTGCCCCAACACCTTCATGTTGAGGTCTGGCCAAGAACTTTCTGGCCACAAGACGAGGTTCGTTAATGTAACTGCAAATATCTTGGTCCGGCATTTTGTGCAAAAGAGAGAAAAGTTGTAGAATATATGATGGAAATGTGAGGAGCAAGACAAAGATTGTTTAAGGTATATATAGGAAAGTGGGGGTGTGGCGTGTGAGAGTTAGAGGCATAGGTTCACTCTTGGAAAGTCAAAACTCAAAAAACGTAGAGGTGTTGGCTGCCAATGAAGACCCACATCGGAGCTCCAGGTTGTTTTCTTTCTTATATTCCCATGAACGTCAGCATAACGTACTCATGATGTCTCTTGTGTTATAGCCATAGCCTTCCGAATGAATTCATATATCTTTCTCGTTACATGACTTCCACCTGTCATTTTGAATTCTTTGTTTTCTATTCAAACCAAAGTTAAAGCTCATAAATGTTCAATAAAATCAGAAAAATAAAATAAATATCTTTGATCCTAGCTGGACATGTTCCTCTGCATCACTTGACATCACCCACGTTTCATCACAATCGGTTAATTCCAGTGTTGGCTTCTTTTAACAACTTTCTACTTTTTTACAATCTCTTGTGTTTGTCTATTTACTTTTGAGTTGGGTATTCTTCTTTTCTGTTTTTCATTTGTAGTTTTATCCATTGTCCTTTTACTGCTGACATCTACTAAAAATATTCTCATGAAATATAAATCACTTGGTTTCACTATAGATAAGCTTACGTTTGACTGACACCAAATAACAACAAGAAAAAGGAAAAAGAAATATCATTATTAGTTGGTTTAATGATTACATTGTTATTTGTTATGTTGAGAAATCATGAATTTAATTAAGTAATTTTTCATATCTTCGGTACTAAACAATATTTGGAGATATATGAAATGATTCAATTATATTTAAAGATGAGTTGTGAATAAGATTTGTTCTATTTATTATAAGAGGAATGACTTTTATCATATAAAAGTATTCTTAAAAAAAATTGATGCATCTTATTTCAAGAAAGAAAAGGAAATAAGATAACAAGTAATAAAAGACTAAACTACCTTTATAGAAAGAAAAGAATATGAGAAGACAAAAAAAAATTATTATTTAACATCTTATATTAGTTATATATAAACCAGAATCTCCAATTAAAAGGACCTAATCTAAATGTACTCTAAAAATAAGTTAGAGGAACCTTATTCTTCTGCGTGCCATGTTATAAACATGCACAAAACAGTCCTCAATCCACATCTACTCTTAATTTTTCTTATATCTTTATTTTCTAATCAATCTCTTTTATTTAGGGATTAAGAATATGTTTGGATATAAATCTAGAAAGACTTTTAAGAATTTATCTACTAAAAAATATACTTTATTTTCAATAAATAAAAAAAAGTTGTTAAAAATTCTTTTAAATTGTATTCAAACATGCTCTAGATTAAATATAATCATCACATATAAGAACTAAAATGGCTACCTTATTTTTCCTTTTATATGTTATCCGAGTATATTATACTGTTACCACTCTACAATAAGATGAACTGAATTAAAGACAATTTTGCATTTAATTAAAAGTAATTTTTATATGATCAAGTTGAAAATAAATGTCATGTATGAGGATCGAAATCATAATTTAAACCAAGAAATATTTATGAGTAGAGAATAATATGAATTTTTTTATTAAAAAAAGTCTTAAAATTACACAACGGAAAGAATAAAAATAAAAATAATAATCATGAGAAAGTTACATGGATAGTCTCATGAAATTTTTTTTGTTTGTGAATAAAAATTCTAAGCATTTTGCAGCAACACACATTGAGAGGAAAAAATAGTTCATTTCATCATGTTGAGAGGTCTAAATATTGATATAAAATTGTTAATGCCGTTAGAAAAACATATTTATGAGGTCTAAGGATTTTTATTTGGCTTTTTTGCTTGAAAGACTCAAATTATGTTTTGAGAAAATAAATGATTGCCTTTGGTTACTTAATTATGATCTTGTGGAAGTTTTAAATCATGTTTTAAATGCTAATTAGTTTGTGGTGAAGGATTTCACATCTCATAAGTGAATTTATAGACGCAATTTTGTGTGGTGATATAAACATTATTGTGGCAAAAGCATGATAACAAATAATGTGTGAGTCACATCTTTCATCATCAATCGGTCAGCAGTTATGTGGGAGAAATTAATGAAAAGGTTGAACTGAAAAAGTATGGAAACTAGGAAATTGAAATTGGAATAAAACCAGAATTAACTATAAAGTTTAGCTTAATTAACTATAAAGTTTACACTAAAACATTTGTCCGGAGTGATTAATTTCTTAAACGAATATCTCTTTTTCAAGAGACTAGTATGTAACTTTTGACAATTGCACTCCTCAATATATATAATATTTATTGTTATTCTTTAATTAAAATTAATGTTTCATATCTTTAATGTATAATTATGATATTAGATTAGTACGTAATTTTTTTTGAGAAATTTATATAAAATTGATGGATATTTCATATTAATAATATTTTCATTAAAAATTTTGGAATAAAGAAGAAATAGATGAAATAATTTAGACTTTTATAAATTGAGAGTCTAAGTTACTTCTCAAATATAATTTTTCAACTGAACTTAATTATTTACCAGAAATATATCTTTTCTAAAGTATAATATAATTTTTTAAAAGTTTGAGTTTACGTAAAATCTTATTTAAAATAGATTATAAACGAAACTACTTCTATATTACATTAAGATATAAATAAGGTTCCACATTAATAAAATAAGAGAAAAAATAACAATTTAAGAAGTTAAGTCTCTTATTTGAGGGTAAGATTGTTGAGATATAAATAAAGTCTCACATTAATAAAATAAGAGAAAAAATAATAACTTATAAAATACACGCATAGTTTAATAATTGAGAGACCTTGGTGATAACTAAAAACAAAATAAAACTCCAAATCCTCTAGATATAAATATTCACTCAAACAAATTCTCAAAAATAATCTATAAATTTTGTACAATAGTATAGGCTTACATAATAATGATATACTTAAATAGGCTAATCTGTATATTGAGCTTAAAAAAACTATTTAAATGATCTAAAATTTAATTATTCTAACTACAACTTCAAAAAAAAAAAAAAAAGATTGGCCTATTCCTAACGTGGGTAAAGCTCCCAATTTAGGAATCCATTTTTTTAAAAAGAAAAAAAAAAGTTAGTAATTACTTAATAAATAATATTATCCTGCTGTGAGTAATTAAATAGTTTAGAAAGAAAACAAAAACTCATTCTATTGTGATAGTTTTTGACGTTTTCTTTTTTATTCTAGGCTACTTTTCTGCTTAAAAAATAAGTTATGAAATATAAAGGCTCTAAATAAATTTTAATGAAGAAAACATTTCAGGATAAGTCAATTTTAGGATTTTTTTTTTCTTCTCACCCCCTCTTTATTACAAATTCTAAGATCCAAGAATATATTATCCAATAATTTTTTTAACTCTAAGGTGACCATTCAGGCAAAAAAAATTATTAAATACGTAACTTTTAATTTATTTTTTTGTTTTTTTTGTTTTAACTAGTAGATTTTAAGATTAAAAAATGAAGTCAAATACTATCTACAATTTATCTCTTTTATAAATTTTAAATATTAAAAAAATGATAATTATTTGAATAAAATATTTTTACTAATGCCTCATCTAAGTATTTGATTGAATCCTTTATAGAAGTTGGTCAAATATTCTAAACTGTCTTGTTAGTTTGTTCTTTGCTGTCGTGACAAACTGGTAAGCAGTTGTAAATTGGGTGAATGACATCATTACAACAGAAGCATGACGCATCTTAAATTATCATCCATATTATTACTAAACTTCACATTCTCGTAATAAACTTATATCTAACTATTAGTGATACTGAATTCCACTTTTTTAATGATTTGTTTTTATCGTAAATTTTGACGATAATTTTACCTATTGTCCTAAAATTTCTGAACACAATTCAGACATCAAAATATATATATAATCGAGAAATAATTTACTTTTTCAGAATCTCAATGACAAAATGGTAATTTAAAATAATGAAAAGCGCAAGTATTAGCTATCATTATTTATCATAATTGGCCTAGTTGGGATCAGACACTAACGAGAAGCGCAACAAAAAACAGAAAGTGCAATCTAGGAGTAAGAATTATGAAGCTTGTGCCACCAAAATCATACCCAACTCAAATTCAAAGTGCAATCTAGGAGTAATCCACAAACTTAAATGGGCACATGCTTCTCAAATCCACAATAGTTCGCATAAAAGGAGATGCTGTGATGAATTACTCCACTTGTTTAACATAATCTGCACTTAAAATAGGCCATTATTGCTGTCTGTGTGTAGTGAACCCACTATAGTTGGTCTAGTTGTGAATGATTTGAGTAATCTGCACAAGATTGTTCCAACTTTGATACCGTTGTAAAGATAAAAAAAATAAAGAAAGACATTGTTCTCTTGTGTAAAGTGGGTGTAGGATTGGAACAATTCTGTTGTGCAATATTCTGGATTCTGAGTATGATTTAGAGAAATATCAATAGAGATTGGCACAATTTACTCATTAATAGCATCTGCTATTAATGCCAAATCCTGTATGGTAGTGCCTCGTGAATTTCAAAATCCAACTAAAGATCCACCATTTGTTTAGGATTGTCAAATCGTAGAGACCAACACATTCGTGCCACACATAGTGAGTCAGGTCAAATTTAATTCATTACGTGCATGTACCGTTTAGCTTGTCACACCATTTTGTTAAGGTGCACGTTTATATTATTATGCCAAAAATATTACTTTTTATTATTTCACTTGCATTATTAGATTTAAAATAAAATTTTACTCGAGACAATTTTTTAAAATTACATTGAACTCGATTATTTTTATAAAAAAAACTTAATAGTTCTACAAATTTATTTTGACACTTCTAAACTTTCTAATCAAGCCAACCAAAATTGATTCCTGTTAAATTGGATCAAAATATATTACGTTGATTTTATTCATCTAAAAGTGTTTTACTCATTTTCCACTATCTACAATTTCAACCCCAATACATGTCTTTATAGTCATTGACTTTCAATTAAACTGCAAAGTTTTCAATCACAACCTATCGTAAATAGGGTACCACTATTTATAATTTTTATTTTAATATTATATTGCTCAATGCATTCATACATAACTTTAATAATTTCATCTACACTAATTACTATGAAAAAAAAAATCTGATTTTTTAAAAGAAATGAGTAATGTTTATACTGATACAATAGGACTATTCAGTTGATTTTTTTCATTCATATCCCAGACATGCCAATATTAACATTGTCTCCTACTAGTATGTCATGCCAAATGCACCCACCCCAACAAGTACAAATATAAATATATCTTACAAAAAAAGATACAGAATACACATCTAAAAAGAATTCATAAATATATATACCACGCGGGCTTTTGTCCTCTCACAGTATAAACCCGAGAAGCAATGAGGAACTAAGAATGCACAAGCATTGCTACAACAAATAAGATTGAAAGAATTTGCTCTTTTTTAAGAAAAACAAAAAATGTGGAATGTTCATGCAGAATCTGAAGCCAAAAGCTTCATGCCACCACTCAATCCTAGAAGAGATGGAGAAATTGAGGCTTGAAACCAGCAAAAGCAATCTTTTCTCATTTTTTTTTCAGAGGGAAGTTTAGAGATGATTTAACTCAAAGCACAAGAGAAGAAGCTATAAACAGAGCCAGAGTGGACAAGAAGAGGCAGACAGTGACCTTGGCCTGTGCATTGCCAGGTGGAAGTGCATTGGTTCCAGTGTTTGGGCTCGAAGCAGGGTCTATTTTAGCAACCGGAGGCAAAGGTGGCTCTGCCACTTCAGCTTCTGTTAAAGGTGGGAGTGGAGCCTCAGCTGGAGGCAAGAATTCTTTGGTAATCAGTCCATAAAGACCACCTGGTTGAACAGCTTCCATATAAGTAGGTGTATTATTTCTTCCCAAATTTAAGCATTTGTTCCCTGCAGTAAAATGGAGAACAATTGTTTCAATGATTAATACGAGGCTTAGGGCATGTTCAGATAAAGGCTATTAGGATACAAGTTTATAAGCATTTTTTAGAGTTTCTCTATTGAAAAATACTCTTTATTTTTAGTAAAGAAATTCTCAAGAATGCTTATAGAAAAGTTCTCAAAAACATTTCTAACTTGTATTCAAATAGACTCATAAATTTCTTCAAAAGCACTTTTAGAATAAAAAATATAAGAAAAATTTAAATAAGCTTGTCCATATGTTAAAACTAACTTTTGCATAAATTAAAAAAAAAAAAAAAAAAAAAACCTTTTGGACAAGCTAATTTTAGCTTATAAAAAAGTTTATTTCATTTTTCCTTTTTATTTTTCTTTTCTATAAGTGTTTTCAAAGAAGTTTACTCAAATAGATCCTTATAAGAGAGTAGACAACGTGGTACACTAGAATTTGCTAGCACTTACTTCTGTATCTGTTAGCAGTTTTAGGGAAGTCTGTGATGATACCATCTATTGGTACTCCCTGAATGAATGAGTTGATCTCAACAGTTGCATCTGAGAAGAAATCCCATGCTTGAGACACAAACTCATTGCTGAATGTTTCTACGAAAACTGAGAGGTTAGCAGCCTTCAGCTTTTTCACAGTGTTCGTAGTGCTTGTCAGGAATTTACTGCTACTAGAAAATACAGAATCCTTGCTCACAATCACAGAACTAGCAAAGCTTTTTATGTCCGTAATAGCTGCATTAGCCGCATCACCAACAGTCTCGTCAATCTTGTAGACAAGCTCATAACTGGTTTTCTCCTTGAACTTCTGCAGTACAGAGCTATTGGTGGATTGAATATAAACCTTTTGGGGTCCTGGTTTATCATAACCTGCTTTGCTCAAAGCACTCATGACTGCATCAATCACATTTAATCCTTGCTTGTCAAGATAGGCTGCATTCTGATAAGAAGAACAACGACAATTTAGATATTAGCATAGAAAAGGTTTAGGGTTCATTTAAACACTAGGAATATGCAATTATTATTCATCTCCATAACCAAATAATTCTTTACTTGGTTGAAATAAATCAGGGCAAAGAGAGTTGGTGAAGAAATGAGTAAAAGATGGTTCTTAGAGTATTACCCTCGTTATATTTAATGTCAAATCCACACATATATGACTTTCGGGCAGGGGAGTCATTTGGTTTCAAAAGAGAGTTGTCAGTGGCACAAATTACAAATAGAACTCTAAAGAGTTAAAAAAAGTATATTTCATCATTTTTGGCATAAGAACTTTATAAGTAATGTATGGTCAACACAAACTACTGAGAAAGGTCTTGTAGCAATCTGATAACAGAAATAATGTATAATAACTTAAGTGACCCTAAGCCATTGTCACAAAAGTTTGCCCTAATTCTTATATAAAAAAATAATATATTCGAATAACAGCCACAACAATGATACCTATACAGAATTAATAGGTATGGAAGAACGCACCTCAACAGTGATTGCAACACCTGATAGAGAAGTCTGATTTTTTGTTAAAGACAAGAAATCTGATAACGTCAACAATTTCCCCTCGTTCTTATATTTTGGATTCCTGAACAATCTGTATTTTGCATAAGGGTTCAATATTGAAGCTGCAGAGAAAACGCAGAAGAGAAAAATGTCAAATATTTGCCATAAAATCAATAAAAACATCAGGGAGCAAAGTGAAAGGCACCAAAAGATGAGGGAAAATTTTGTCAAGGTAATTTATCAGTTGAGACTTGAGACATTGATTGTCCTATGAAGTGAAGTTGTGAGCTAATTCCCCCATTATTCTCAAAACACAACTTGTTTTCAATGTGCTTATATCTCATTCCAAATTTTGGCTAATTGAAGTACGAGTCAACTAAGCTTTGACAAGTCTGGATTAACTCTATGAAAATACAGAAATGCAGAAGAACATTAGACCTTATTGAATAGCTAACAATTACAGAACTTTCTGACTTACGGGTCAAGCCTTTTATATCAGTCCACGACAAGCTGAATGAAAATATGCCACTGCCAGATTTGATCTCAGGGATACTCATGGCAAGTTTGCTGAAGCTTGATTGGGCGACTAAAGTACTCTCTATAAGATCAATGGAGTTTGAGCAAAATGGTGTTCCTTCCTTGGAAATTTGAACAGGACAGTCAAGAACATCCACACCATCAGATATGGCATTATTATATGCCAAGTCAGTACAAGCAGGATAATCTCCACTTGCTCCATATTTTGAGATAATCAAAGTTTTATCTGAAACATGATAGCAAGTCAACAATTATGCAAGCTATGCGGCCATCAAATGATAAAAATCATACAATCAAACAACTAGAAATTGCTAAAGAACAAGATGAGAATACATGTTTGATGTTCCAAAATGAAAACCAAGTGTACCTGTTTTTGTAGCATTGTTGCCTAGGTGAGCAAAGCAACCTGCATCATAAAAAGATAACCCAATGTATACTTAAATAGAGAAAACAAGAATTGTAAACACAAACATACAGACATGTTCTGAGGTTAAAATTTATAAGCAAGTTATAAGTTAGAACCCACAAACAACTAATATCAAGTACACGCTTATGTCTCATGTTTATGTGATGTAAAAGCATTTTAAAATTAAGGAAGAAAATTCTAGTTAGGATAGCTAATAAGCATTCAATGCCTAGAAGACAAAAAATGCTATGTGCTTTCAAGCAGTAAGGAAACTGAACACCATGATGAAAACTTTTACTATAGTTGCTAAAAGAGTATATAGCTGGACCCCATCTGATCTGCCTAAAGGAGCCTGCCCTAAGCTGAATTCAGTTGAAGGTGGAAGCATGAAAAGCAGGAGGTGGTGAGGGATTGGCTAAAAGATTGTATTTTTAATAAGTTTATTCATGCACTTGTAGTTGTAATAGCATTCGGACATGAAATCCTTTAGTAGAAGTAAACATAAATCACATTAGTATCTTTCATTGATCAAGGATTTTATAACTATCTTAGTGGCATCCTCACGCAAAGTGCAAACATCTCTTTACCTAGATTGCATAGTAAGGATAAATTCTCTTACAAATATATCAGTACCGGATGATTGATCACCAAAGTCCAGGATTATTTGGCATGTTGATTTGCACGAAAAAATCATAGCTTTCGATAGATTAAAATAATTTAACTCACAGGATGAGAATTGAGGATTTAACCCCTAAAGTTTAAACAAAACCATCCATGGTCACTCAAAATTTGAAAAAAGCATGCAAATACAAGCACATTTACGGGTCATTCACTCAAATTTAAAAAGTTGTAAATGTTTACAAAATCAAATAACTTATTATTGGTAAGTTACATGATAACTTCTGATTTTATTTCTCCAATTCTGTTGTTTTAAGAAATTCTCAAATAATTAGAATGTTTACATAAAACAAATATTTTGTATTCCCTTAAAACTCTTCCATCCAAACATACCCTAACTAAACAAGATTTTGATCAATTCAAATGCTCTCTATTTGTGGCAGGCTATTCTGACAACATGGAGGAACAATAAATAAAAAATTACTTACCTATAGCTTCAAATGCGGTTACGGGAAAATCAGACAGCACACCATCAACAGAGAAGTCACCATTGTCTATGAATTGGAGGTACTCGGCAAGAGGATCATAACTGTAATTAAAGCTAGCTGGAACATCATTCACAAAATCTGATGCAAAAACTTCCAGCCCCACTTTATGTGCATCCGAGACCAAAGATGTATGTGGTTGTAGATAAAGAGTTGCATCAACAGGCCATATATATCGCCTTGGAACAAGAATTCCAGAGGCAAATGTCTTGATAGATGTAAGATTCTTTAAAAGCGAACCATAAGTCTGATTGGTTGATGGATCTATGTCACTCTGTTCCATAAACCTGAAGATCAGTTTTGTTGTTTTTGGGTTGAAGCGTGATGCTATACTTTTCAGAAAACCAGCCTCAGGTGATGAGATATAACTGAAAACCAATCTTCTAGAAGCTGAAAGCACAGTGTTTCTCATACTCAAATTGTGCTGTGCGTAGAAATTATCATGCTTTAAAATAACAGAGAAAACAATAGTTAGTTCTAAAACAAACTAGGAGATTGAATCAAGACAATTGATTATTATGCATTCATTCCATTTACCTGAATATTCAACCATATTCCTTTTGGTTTTTGGTTTAATGTACCTAAATCATCAATAGTAAGAATTGGAAAACTGTTTCCATCGAACAGGTTGGAACGAGAGTATACTCCCTGAGTTACTGTCCAGAAACAAGAAACTGTCAGCAACTACACAAAAGAAAAAACTACAAAGCTCATTTGCTGAGAAAGAGAAAAGTTCAATAAAAATCCTGCATTAGTAGCCAGACCTTAAATCAACAACACACATACAGAAGAAAAGAACCACTTACAGTGTGTTTGGGAGAGATAATCTCTCATTTCAGGTGTTTTTTGAAAGAAAAAAAAAAGTTGTTTGCAAAAAAAAAAAAAACTGTTTGTTTGCAACAATTTAAATTTATAAACAGCTAATTATATGAAGCTAAAAATTTGAAGTTTATAATTATTTCTGAACAGCTATTTTTTTTACTTTTAAGCTCATGTATATCTTAAAATCACTTTTCAGTAAACTTAAACAAATCCTTTTGATTATAATCAATTATAACAATAATTGTATGAGTTTCACAACTTTTGGAAACGCACTTAGTCCATCAAATACTGAAAGTCACAACAATAAAACAAGATGTTTGAAACAAGCTAAACTCACAGACAACATTGGAAAGGTCCTTGCGGGTGTAATCCAGAGAAAAATAGCCACGAACGGCTACACCATTGACCACGTAGCTTTTGGTTTGGTTTGGGAAAGTGGATGCAATGTAAGTAGAATTCGCAAGGTTGATATCAGGAAGACAAATCCCAACTCCATCCTTGGTCAATTGCACATCACACGACACATACACATCAGGTCCACTCGTAATCACTGCCAAATTATAGGCACCATCACTTGAATCCGGAAATATCCCCGAAAATCCACCACGCGCCACAACCACCGGTGCAACTCCTGCAAAACACAACCACACCACCACTAAGTTCCAAAACTCAAAAACCACACCAATCTTTGAAATCATAATCAAGACTCGGTGATTAGCCTTCAAAATTTGTCGAATCAGCAAACATTCCATTCAACTAAAAACAAACAAGTATTAGCAGATTAAGGTCGCGGAACGCTCCTAAGCACCGAATCTATCATCCATAAACTAACTAACTAACAAAAGCTCATGCAACGAAAACGCACAGATCGTGCAGTTGGAAGCTGATAAACATCACAGGTTAGTTATTATTGGATAAGCAAAGTGTTTGTGAATAGAAAGAGAAGCTAAGATTGTAGTGAAAAAAAGAGACATTACAATGAGTGAGGCATAGAAGGCGTACCGTTGAGTGTGTTCCACACAGATCTCTGAGCAGAGACGAGAGCAAGGAGGAAGTGGAGAAGAAGAAGAAGAAGAAGAGGAAGAGCGAGTGGAGAATAAAGAGCGCGTGGGTTCCACATCCCGGCAACCTTAGCAGTGTTGAACCCAACCAAACCGAACCACCTTAGAGAGAGAGAGAGACAGAGTGAGAAATGAGGTTCTAATTTAAGTGGGAAGAGGAACCTTTTCGGAGCTCATTCTAGTACTACTGCTTCCCTTTCCATCTTTTCGCTCTTTTAATTCATTCTTCTGTCTATTATTTATTAATCAGAAAAGAGTTAATCATTTATATATTACTAGTACTAGTAATTAATTATATTTTTTAATTATATTATCTTATTATAAATATTTATTTTTAACAGTGACATAACATAATTAAAAGATATAATTAGTTGTCAGTATAAAATTTTATATTGACTGTGTATAGGTGATTAATTTATTAAAAAATATATAGATAAATAAATAAATATGTATATATTTAATATAATATAATCTCAAGCGTGTAGTTCAGCAATAAGGGTTGATTCACGTTTAAGCAAGATCAAGAGTTCGAATCCTGCCTTATATATGCAGTCGCGTTAAATCTTGAGGCCAAACGATGTCTCTCTCATAACGAGAAGATTAGTCACTGCTATCAGCCCTGGATATTCCAAAAACGAACAAAAAAAATATAATATTTACACTAATAAAGACATTAATAAATAAATTTTACGTAATAATATTTGACAAATTTTTAATAAAATTTAAATATAAAAATTAAAATAACTTTATAAAATTATAAAAATAAAAATTAAATTTAAATTTAAAAAGAGAAAACAGAGAGATATTTAAGGCATAAATAAATATAGAGGGAAGTGGACAAGCTGGCTTGAGCTATGCCGCGGTTTTGACTGATGTAGGAGGCAGTGAGGTGTGGGGTCCACAACGTGGTTGTCAAAAGTCTGGCAGGAGACACGTGGAGCGTTGTGATTGGTGATGAGGAAACGCGCAAAACATGAAGGTTGCGAAAGTGGGAGAGGGACAACGTGGGAAAGTGATTTGATGGTGTTGTAATGGAACAACAAAACCGGACGGTCATCGAACCGGTTAAGGTATTGGGTCAGTGGGTCAAAGGTTGAACCGGTGGGTCACTGGTTGAACCGCATGACTCGATTTTTATTTATTTTTATTAAAAAATATTCATATTAAATATATTTATACTTATAAATTTTAATAAATTCATATCTTATTTTAAATTTAAATTCTTTTATCTTATTTAAAATTATTTTTATTTTTATTTTGTAAAAAAATATATAAAAAAATTACATGTTAAACGGTATATTAATACAAATTAAAAATATAAATAATATGTACATATATAATATGCTTGCAATTAATATCACAAAATAATATATGTAATATTTACATAGATATTGAATTATTAAATATATAATTTAAAATTAATAATATACTATAAAAGTTATTTAAGTTGTATATATTGCAAACAAATATATTAGAACAAGTAGTCATTGTTATATTTAATAAGACTCCTTGCTTTTTCATTAAGAGATTCAATTTTCATTATTATTTTTGTGATTTATGGTCCCTTAAATTTTTTTAAAAAAAATAAGAAAAAAAAGTGGTTGAACCGGTTTGACCCACCGGTTCACCGGTTGAACCGGAAAATTGACCGGTTCAATCCGGTTTGAAACGGGTCGACTGCATAACCGATCCAACTTCAGATTCGAACCGGCTGGACCACCGGTTCCCGGTCCGACCGGTCCGACTGGCCGGGTCGGTCCGGGTTTTAAAACACTGACAAGAACCATTCTCACTTGCCACCTCACAAACTCACAAATGGATCTACCAAAATTACATCAACACCACTTCAAATATAATTATATTACGTTCCTAAACTATCATAATTAATTATCAATACCACTTCAAATAATCCTTTAATTTTCTATTTAATATATACATAATTAAAATTATTATTAATGAGAGATATGTTTACTTCAAAAATAAGTCTATTTATATTTATTTCATTTAATAATTCATGTTTTACATCAAAATCATTTGATATTTTATTTTATTAATTTATATTTAAAAATAATTATAAAAACATTTTATATATCAATTTAAATTAATAAAACAAAATATTAAATAATTTTTAAATCTTTTTAAAATTTACATATTTAATCTATATATTAAAAATTTTAAATTCAATGATTAAATTATAAATTTAATATAAAATATAAATTATTAAATAAAATAAATCTAGATAAATTTATTTTAAGTAAACGATTTAATCACACTCTTTCATTTGATCATTTCTTTATTATTATTTTTTAAAACAACAAAAAACAAGTATCTCATTGTCTTTAATGTATATCATACCATTATAAAAAGAGACACACTTTTAAATTTCACGGTATCTCTCATTTAATGTACATCATACCATTATAACCATGTTTTGTTTTCTTTACGTTTCTTTTTTCTCCTCTCAAAACAGGTCGCTCACTTTTTTTTTTTTAAGTTTTAAAAAATTAGATACAAAATGCTTATTTTTTCCTAATTTGTATTTTATATAATTAATAAATGTGATACTACTTTTCGTATCTAGTTTTTATTTATTTATGAACATTATTACCGCAATACACTTATTTTTTATTTACTTTTTTATTCTTTCTTTTACTGCTTTTTTTTAAACCAACTAAGATTACTCTTCAACTTTTTTTTTCTTTTTGGTTGTAACTGCTTATTTTAGTTTTAAATAAATATATAAAGACACAAATAACCTATTTTTCCCCAGTAATCATAAAAGGGTTAATAGATCTCTTTGTTTAAAGTTAAGAAAATGTTATTTTAAAAAAGTATATAGGAGTTGTTTAAAAAAAAAAAGTAAAAGCTGTTTTTTCCTTCTTAAAATAAAATTTAAATAATATATAAAAATATAAAATTATTTGAAAAATTCAGACACGTAGATCAATGATGTGTTTAGACCAGTGTTAATAAAATTAATTTTAGTTAAAATTTATTTTTAAGTGATGTAACATTTAATTTGGATTTGGATTTGGATGTTTTAAATTATAAAGGTTAGTTAATAGTAAAATTTAGTATAATTCTTTATGCTTATAAAAGCTACTTATATAATGGTTAATGGTTTAAATTGTGAACCTTTATTTTGAAGTTAGATAAAATTAGATTTTTTTTAAATAATTTTTTCATTTATATAAACAGACAATTTTTCTTTTAGTTCTTAAAGAATACAATTTTGTCCTTGAAAATTTTAGTCTTTGTTATTAGATTGACTGTTAAAAATTTAATGAAAAAAGTTTTAAAAATTTATAAACTAAAATGAAAATAATTAAAATTTTAAAAGACCAAAATGAAAATCAATAAAATTAAAATAATTAAAGTAAAATAACTTTATTTCATAAGAACCAAGTTTTTGTTCAAGCCAAATTTAAACCTTTAAAATACAATAAAATGTACCTAATATATATGTGTGTAGACATGCATTTGACTAGTATTTCGGCTTTTTGACCAAAGTGGAGTTGTTTTAAAAGTTTATTACGTAAATGGGGTTGTTTTGAAACTATTTACGCCTTTGGGGCTGTTTATAACGGTGTCGCTATGGGCCATAGCGACACCGGTGACACGTGGCATTTTTTTTACTTCAGGGAAGCCATGAAAGCCATATAGATAAAGTCGCTACAGCCCATAGCGTCACTAAACAGCTTAAATAAAGTCGCTATAGCCCATAGCGCCACCAAACGGCTTAAAAAAAATAAATTCAAATGTAAAAAAAAATTAAGTTAATAATTTAAATAAA